TATATATATATATATATATATATATATATGTAGAGAGAGAGAGAGAGAGATGAGCGATCAAATGAAAACCGCTTTCATTTGTGTAAACTATGTAAACCAATCTCATCCATCCATTTTCTTGATCAATGGTCAAGATTAGTTTAGGTTATATTCTTAAAATCGATTCAAAATATAAATAAAACACACCATAATCAATTCTACATAATGAATTCTTTTGAATATAAATTAAAAAAAATATTGTATTACATTACATGAACGAAATGGTTTCACAGTTTCATCAATACACTAATCAACGTAATTCTGATCAAATTTTGTCATTTTCAAGTTAATGATAGATGGATCCGTTTCATTTTGATAATGAAATTATTTCATTGTACATTAATTACTCAAAATTTTCTTAGCATGGTTTCACTTTCTTCAATCACTCATTTCATCGGTCAGCATGGTTTGATTAGTTATTTGTCATTTCACGCTATTGATAATGAAATTGCTTCACTTTTCGCTAATTACACAGACTTTTCTTATCTTTTTTGAAATGGTTTCACTTTCTTCACGCACCCATATCATCATGCATTCATTTCATGCTGCACCAATTTCCTCATGCATCCATTTCATAATCACTTTCACTTACTCAATACACCAATTTCACCATGTATGAAACTGATTTCATAAATTTTTTTATTCTATTACTGATTTCATGGATTTATTAATCTAATAACTTACGATTTTCATTAATTTTGGCAATAATAAACCGAGACACAATATAAGAAAATCCAATTTTTGATATTATAATTTAATTAAATATTTAAATGTTACCATTTATAAAATTTCCTTTATTATGTTACCTTAATTAAGATTTATTAATAACTTCTATATTTAATAGAAAACAATGCAAATGACCAATATACCCTTAATGATTAAATTTAATTAAAAAAATGGAATTTTCCTATTGATCGAAATTAGTTTACATGATTTCTAAGAATTGCACGGTTTTCATTTGAACGTCTATCTCTCTCTCTCTCTCTCTCTCTATATATATATATATAGAGGAGTGTTCAAATGAAAACCCTCTCCATTTGTGTAAACCGTGTAAACCAATCTCAACCATCCATTTTCTTAATCAATGGTCAAGATTTGTATGCTTTATTTATGGAAATTAAAAAAAATTAAAAATTAAAAATTTAGTTTATTTCATCAATAAGGGTAGAATGGTAAACAATCATTAACAATCGGTAACATCCTAATGAAACATATTTCATTAACTATTTTATAATGAAATCTTTTCACATTGAAAACATTTACATGAACATTAATTTCATAAAGAATAAAATATAATATGCACCCGTTTCATCGTACATATATTTCATAAAGAACAAAATCCATTATGCATCCGTTTCATTTTCATTCTATTACAATACAACATGGATCACCATGAAAATGTTTCATGAAGCATGAATCAATTAGAGCATAAACTGTTTCACCATGAAACTAGTTTTTCAATCTCGAATCAATTATAAAATGAAAATGTTTCACCAGCATGAACCTATTTAAATAACTATTTCATAATGAAACCTTTTCACATATAAACATTTACATTCACATTAATTTCATATACAATAAAATGTAATATGTACCTGTTTCATGATACGTATATTTCATAAAGAACAAAATCCATTATGCACCCGTTTCATTTCATTCTACCAACTAAACGGATCAAATTCAATTACAATGCAACGTTGCTCACCATGAAACTAGTTCATCAATCACGAATCAATTACAAAATGAAAATGTTTCATCATCATGAACTCTTTTCATTCTACCAATTAAACGGATCAACTTCAATCACAAAGCAATACGGAACACCATGAAAATATTTCACGAAGCATGCATCAATTAGAACATAAATTTTTTCACCATCATGACAATATTTCATTGATGTATACCATATGCTTTGAAGAAGCAAATAAGTCATTTTACAATGAAACCTTTTCATGTTTATACAGTTTCATGAACATTTGTTCTTTTTTTCTAACCAACATCAACCCACGATTTCATTCCTAAAGTTGTTGTAATCTTCATAAAATGTTTCATGATTCATTGAATACCAAATCATTAAAATCAAGATTTTAATATATAATATATTTAAATTTTGA